TCTTTATGAAAAGCTAATCTTCTGCAAGTTTTTACTACTTATATGCCTCTCAGTTAGTAATTTTGTTTCTTAATCTCCTTGGGCTTGGCATAGTCTGGTGGTTAAGGTGCTCGACTCTCAACCTGCAGGTGTAAATCCCATCTCTAAACATGCTTGCCTTTGTAGCTGTGAGGATGTTATAATGTGATGGTCAATCTTACTGTTCATGGGTAAAGAGTAGTCCAGAAGTTGGCACTGGGTGGTGTTGACCAGCTTTCTTCCCTCTAGTCTATGTCTAAAATTAGGGATGCCTAGTGCAGATGGCCCTTTAGTAGCTTTGTGCAAAATTCAAAACAAACAAATTTGTATTCTCTATCATATTTTCAATGGATAGAGTGTCTGTGATTAGAAATGTCTCTCTTTCAGTTTATGCTTTGCAAGTTACATGTTTATAACCTTTGTTCCATCCCATTCCATTTACATTATGAAGTTTTTCTTTCTTATGATTAAGTTAATCTGCTCAATTATTCATGTTTTAAGATGAATCAGATCTTAGTTTGTGACAAGATTATTTAATAGAAAGACATATTTATTACAGAAAGACCTATTCAACTGGTTGTTCTCCAAATATAGAGGTCAGGTTTATTTTGCATATCAAGAGTTTATTCGCTTGCTTTAGTATGCCAACTTTTTACAGTTGTTCCACCCTGCTTATGCTGTTAAAGTTCAATGTTCAATAGACAGTTATTTTTCTTACATTGTATTCTTGTATAATTACAAGTTTTGTAATGTGTTCTATCTTACAGAAGTTTGGCCAGTTGACACTTTTGTATAGATAGTGTGAGCCTAGTCTCCATTAGCCATTATACACTGAATGTCTCATCTGCTGCTGCTTGTACTAACTGAATTGCTCTTTCATTCTTTTGTTTCAAGTGGGCGAGGAACCTGAAAACTCACACTTCGTAACTAACTGAAATAAATAAATTTTGCAAAATCAAGCTTGACCAACAAAGAGCCAGAAAAATGTAGTTGAGAAAGTCAAACATCGGTAAATTCCTTCGTGAGCCAATCAAAATTAAGATCATTTATGAAATGAATTTGTGGCATATTCATAGAATAATTATTGGTAAAAATCAATAAGTTTAACAACTTCTAATATATAGAAAAGCCAATGCATTTTAGTAACACTACGTTCCAACAATAGCTTTTATGTCATGTCACTTAGCAACAAAAGTATAACCTAATATTGTTTTTAGTCTGTGTACTGAAAGTATAAAATGAAATGTATAAACAGCAAAACTGGAAAAATATTTGTTGATTTCTTAATTTAGAGTCTGTGTTGATTAAAGGGGTTTGTTTTTTTATTAAAAACGTTGGTGATATAACAGAAAATAGCTTAATTCATAAATGATTTAAGTTTAAAGTTGATCGATATTTGTATTTTCATGATAAATCTTATGCACTTGACTCTAGACCAGGTGATCTCACACTATGTCTTTACTTTAGGCTTATTATACCAACACTCACTACACTTATAAAGTTTCACAGTGCACCCCTTTCATGGCCCCTTTGCAACCCTTCACTAAAATTGTAACGGGCAGACAATAATCAAACTTTTCTGTATGGATAAATGCATTTCGGCTTTACTCCTCCTATTTCAAGAAATCAAGCGTGATGTGACACACTGCTTTTATATAGGTTCGATCAACTGGTGTTTTTTTTATCCAGTTTTAGTAGCAGACCTTCTTTAAAACTCTTTCAGCACGGGTTCAATCCCAGGGACTGACCTATAAACCTTTTTGTGCTTGTTATAGTTTTAATGCTATAAATTTTAAATTAATAAGCGCATCTTCACGACATTTTGCATGTTATCAGTAAACATTACAAGGCTTTCATACACAAAATAATAGATTGTTTTAAGAGTTTTTAAGTAATGTTTCTCTCATGCTTTTTTCTTGTTGAATGTTCACTTTCCAACATGCAAAGTAATTTTTATTCTAACATTAAAAATACTTTATGCATCAGAAAATTTTCAAATTTCACATATGAAATCTTTATAACCTCCAGATAATTATCAAACGTTTTTTTAGAAGAAACTATATTTTACCTGTTATTTTCACTGTCGTATCTCTGTATGGGTTTGGTCGACTCATAACCATCATAATAAATTAGGAAATAAATATAAATTATGCTTTTTTCACCTTGGTTGATTCAGTAAGTATATAGAAAAGATAAGAAGTTCACATTTTATATTCTAGCTTGTAATTTGAGTATGTAATTTGTAAGAAACTGTAGACTTCGCAAGCATATAATTTGAACCAATGCTGCATTCAACATACCACGCAACACACAAAAATCGATATTTAGGTTCATTTTTTTAATATTTACTTTTAAATTAAGAAATTAACTAATGTATAATACTA